ACATTTTTTTTGTTATTTAACTTCCAGCACCCGGATTTTTCATCCAAAAAGTCTCCTGAAAACTGCCCAATTCCCCGAGTAATGGGGAAAGCAGATTTAATCTTCAAAGGGATATACACCTGCTAGACCCAAAGAATCCAACAAGAAATACAAATTTTCACCAAACAGATGCCTGCTTGGAATCTAAACAGTCAAATGTAGGAGCAGCAAAGGATTCACAAACACCAACAGGCAAAACAGGAACAGGAGCACGGAGAGAAAGGAGACATCCATGCCCAGGCCCCCTTCTTAGCAAGCCACAAATCACCTCCGCCTTGCATATCTCTCTATACTTGAAGGCTACCTTCCTTTGGGCAGCTGTCACATAAGCAGCAATTAAAGCTCCAAGAAAAAAGAGTGCAAGACCAAAACTGCACCAGAATTTTTTTTCTTTTTTTTGCGCCATTTCAGAAGGTTTATTTATTTATTTAACGTTATTTTTCTACTACTGAAAGCCCTTATATAGAGGCAGATGTAAAAATGCATTTACCATTTTGTTCGGCTGAGTATAGGCTGCATCCCTAAAAACTTGAATCTGCAAAGACAAGAAATACCCTCCGGGAAGAACAGCAGTTTTGTCCTCTACAGGATTCTTCCTTACACATACCAGACATTACTAACAATTTCTAAGTGTTCAAGGTTGTCTTTGGGGAACACTGCTTTTCCTTCCTTTAACATGCTTTCAAAGCCACGTCAAGCGTATGGACAGTCTATTGCTTGCTTTGTCAAGTCTGCAAGCAAAAACTCCATATTCTTCATAGCTGCGAAGGAGTTAGCTCTGTTTCTCCTAAAAACTTTGTCATGGTGACCAAACAGAGGAAATTGCCTTCTAAATACAAAAAGCAATCAGCCTTAAGTATCAGGAGCAAACTTTCTTGGTATGGGCTTTACCCAATCAGCTTTCTCTACCCCCTTCTGTATGTTCTGTAAATTAAACAAAATAAATACCTTAGTCATAGGCTTTGCAATTTCAAGTACCCCATTAAGTTACTTAATTTTGCTATCAATAGCACATGATCTGATAAGCAAAACTGTTTACTTGCCTTAGGAAAAATAAAGACGTGGTTGCATCAGGGGTGTTTCTGAGTTGACAGGGCTTTTCCCTGGGGCTGTTTAGGAGAGTTGGAAAGAACAACAGGGAGAGAGCGTGGAGAGGAGGGAGAGGAATGGCAGAAAACACAGGTGCAGCAGTCTAATCTCCTGGCCCTTACAGACAGAACAAAAGAATAATCACAATTGCAACTATTACCTCTCAAACATTCCTCTGTCAGGGAAAAAAAAAAAGCAGCACTCTTGAGCCCACCTAATTTTAAACAAGTATTTAGCTTTAGAGTTTTCATACCCTTTTAGATCTATTGTGGACTGTTTTGCATGATTACATTCTCATTTTTGTTCCATTTGATACAGAGCTGCTGCACCAACTTTGACAAGGTACTCTATGTACAGACACTGCTGAAAGCTGAATTTGACAGGCATTCAGTTTTGAAGGAATGTATCCAAAATTGGATTCTAATTTTGAAATGTTTCAGATCATTTAAAGATTAAGCTCTAATACAAACTGCAATAAATATATGCTGAGAAACTGTACTTAGTCAATACCAGAAAACCTTGTAAGACATGTATCATACAAAAGTTCATATATTGTAGTGTTTTCTTTTCTTAGATGTCTCTACAAATCAACCAATGCCTAACTTGGATTTGAGACAGCCTGCTTTGAAAAATCAATATAACCTGATAAAAGCCTAAAGCTAAAAACCACTAACGTTCATTTCAGGGCATATCATTGAATATCAAACTATTACTCTAAGCTTTATCTAAAAGAAATCTGTCCTTGGGAAGCTCGAAGCAGCAATGGCTCAGTTTCAATGCTTGAAGACAGCTCTCTCCTCTGCACTGAGGATGAGTGATCTCAGATTCAATTTCACTTCCCAGTCAATGCGTTTGGTTTCTTAACGTTTCATAAATGCCCTGCCCAGAAACGTTTATGACTGGAACCTGACCTACAGCAGGACAAAGTAGATCCAGAACACCTGTGAAGTCATAGCAAGAATCATTCAGGCCAACCTTTGGCTGAGGGAGTTCCCAGAATTTAGATTCTTATCATACCATAAGGGTGCTCAGGAAAAAAAAAAAAAAAAAAAAAAAGGAAAAACACAAAAATCCAAAACAACCCCATAAGCATCATCGTGATCACGTTGACCTAATAGCACCTTACCAGTGTGTGTTATAAACTTGCTTTAAAATTCTTTGAAACACATTATGTAGTGTAAGCACTCTGAATTTCCCATCTGTCACCTTTTAAACTCTCTCAGCCCATTAAGAGTTAACAAGATTGCCATTTCTTCCAAAAGGCAATTTCCCTATAGGTCTGACAAGAACCTTAATCTCCATGTCACAAGCATTAATTAATTCCATAAACAAAACACAGGTAAAAGACTATTTTAACTTAGAAACTCAATTAAAATATCTCATTATATTCCTACAGTTTGATACATCAGTGTTGCATATTCATATTTTTATTCCCCACATATGAGTAACTCTATCGGTATTAACAGAGTTCCTCTATTCTCCTGGAATTCAAGAGGCCTTAAATTTCTAGATTTTAAGAGGATGAAGAACATGGTTAAGCTCTCCACATACAACAGGTTTGGGTTTTTTTTTTGTGGAGAGTATTCTAAAGGTTACCCATGTTCTTAAGAAGTATATTTACAGAGTTTACATAAAAGAATGCAGTCTAAAATCTGCCTGCAACAGCACATTAAAGACCTTTCAGTAGTCTGGAGCAGCTGTGACCTGGTAAAATCTAATTATTTCTCACATGCCCTTTGGAATTCTCCAGGAATATTTACTGTAATTTTTAACTGGTGCCACAAGTACTGGGCCAGCCTTGGAATAAAAGCGGAAGATAGCTGAATGCATCTCATATACATCTTTTATGAATATCCCACAGATGCAAGTTAAAGCTTAGCAACATGGCACAGCAACATAACATTGGAATCTGTTAACTAATACAACTATGTCAGGCATGAGAAATACCAAATACATGATGTTTTTGAAAAACACTACTATAATCTTAACAGACTCTCAGTTTAAAAAAAAAAAAAATCTACAGAATATCTGCAGCATCTCAAAATGCCTTCTGCATTACCATAGCCCACGGTTCTGTCCCACATGATGAGACACAGACACACTGTAATACCCAACATACCTACGCTTGTATAGTACGTGTACATATGTAACCATACAGACACGCATATAACATGTGATATATACGTTACGACGTATACGCAATACAGTTGTATGTACTCAGCTGATTAGGGCACAGCTCACTCTCCAAGGCCTACCAATACAGACCAATCTACTTTAACTTGAAGTCAATTTATTATTAGCTTTTACTCTCCTTAGGGAAAGATTGGAATTGAATTGATAAGGAGAAAAAAAACCTTTTTGCTCGTTGTCAAGGAAAGTCAATCTAGATTTTTTTTTAATTAGTTGAACAAATACAGCATGTATATACCATTTCAAACATCAACGTATCAAATACATCAAGCAGCAATCAAAAATCTATTAGAATTCCTCTTGAGAAAGGATGAGGTTTGACACTTTCTACTTTGTCTGTATTTGGTTTTGCCAAAAGGTAAATAAAGGGAATCTCAGTATTCAAATTTCATATGCAAGTGCAACTATCTAGCAGTTTCCAAAGGCCTTAAAGAAATCAAGCCCTCTTTAAGCTTAACGGAGCTTGGCCTTGAGGTCTTCTGATACCAGCAAAAAGTGCAACTGCAGGACAGTGGAGAGCAGCGGAGACAGTTTTGGGGAGCCTGTCTTCCCCTGGACATCAGCTCCTTGTGCTGGCGAACGTGCATGGTCAAAACGCTGCAGGAGATGACCAAAATCACCTGTGCACCGCTAAGGAAGAGAACAGGACACTCACGAAGGCAGCAGCTGCCAGCCTTGAAAGAAACCCCAGTTTTGATGGAAAATTTAAAGAAACAAAAGCAGAAACATCAACTGCATCTGCCAAATCCAACGCTACTTGTATGAGTTAGTAAGCTACGAATAAAAGGAACTGGTTTCATGAAAAAAACATTTGGGGAATAAATTTTCTAGCTTGTCCTATGACTACCATAAATTTTTGGGTTTGTTAGAAGAGTTTGTTTTCCAACGAAAAATTCCTGAAGGCTGCAGACCGGCCAGGCCCCACTCGTCCTCAACCTTAGTCTCGCCGAGCACGATAAGGTATCTCCAGGCGAGCGCCGTCCCGGGTGGAGCACAAAAAGCAGGCAACTCTTATCCACTTGCTGATTTTAAATGGCGTTAAGTGCTAACACCGTAAGAAAACCCTTAAACCTCCCAAAGCTGCTGCCGTCGACGGTGACGCTTCAAGCAAGGTGCTACGGCTCAGCCATTGCTTTTGGAGGAGTGATGATGCTCACAGCCATATGTTTACAGAGGCTGGGGAAAGCGATACCGATTTATTGATATTTTTTATTTTTAAAAGCACTCGAGCGACTCGTAACCACCCCTGATCTTCGGGCCAAAAACACGGGGAAGGCGGCGGCCGGGGCTAACCTCCCAGCGTTGCCCGCCCCGTCGGGAGCCCAACCGACACCGGGAAAACGGTCACTCGGGGTTTAACTCGCAGCGCTGAGGGGTCGAGGGGGGCGCCACCTCCCTCCCAGCACAGCCAGCAGCGGCACCGCCGCCGTTCCGCCCCTAAAAACGGGGGGAAAATTAAAAAAAAAAAATCTAAGAAACAACCGAGAAACCCCGTCTCCGTCGCGGCGCGGCGCGGCACCGCCCCTCCCCTCAGGGCTGAGGCGCCGCCGCCGCCCCTCCCCCGCCCCAGCCCGGCCATGGCGCCGCCTGCTGCTCCCCCTAGCGACAGCGCCGCTCGCCCCGCCCCGCCCCGCCCCGCCCCGCCCCCGCCGTGACGTCTGGCCCCGCCCCCGCGGCTCGCCGCTGCCGCCGCGACTTGAGGGGCGCGCGCCGAGCTCCGCGCCAGCGCAGCGTCCGGCTGCCCCGCGCGCCGCTCCGCGCCCCTTCCCCGGTCCACGAGCGGAATTACCGCCGCGGCCGCGCCGGGATCGCCTCCTTCCGCGCTCCGCAGGTAAGGGCGGGAGAAGCGCTTTCTCCGCGGGAGTTGCGCGGGTCGGGGCGGAGGGGGGTGCGGCGGGAAGTTTGGGCACGCGTGCCCCCCCCCTTCCCCCCCCCCCCCATCAGTCCCGGGGTGCGGGCACGGCGCTGCGGCGGGGAGCGCCGCGCAGGTTGCGCGGCGGGGCGCGCAGGAGCGCGGAGGCGGCCCCGGCGGCGCCTGCAGCCGGCCTTCGCCCACCCAGCCGCCGGATCCTTGGGGCGCAAGCCGGCCGCTCCTCGAGCTGGTGGCGCGGGTGTCAAACCTTGCACCGGCCCCGGGAGAAAGAGCGCAAAAACCGCGGGGGCGGAGGGAAGCCCGGAGGGACCCGCATAGCAACGCCACCGGGCCGGCTCCTCACGCCCCGCGTGTGCTGGGACCCCCAGCCCCCCCCCATTCCGCCCCTGGTTTGAAAACTTCCCCTCCCGCCCCGCTCCTTGCTGCATATATTAAAAAAAAAAAAAAAAAAAAAAAAAAAAAGGGGGGGGAAAAAAAAAAAAATGGAGTGCGGTTGTGCCCCCTCCCGCGCGGCCGCTCCTCACGCACAAAGTCTGCGGACGAGGAGATGGGGAACAAAATGGTTGCACGTACGTTTAAGAAAGAATGCAACAGGCCCGCATTCCCTCCAGAACGCCCCACTTTCTGTGGGAAGAAGAGCGGGCTGAGAAGCCCCCCGCCAGGAGCAAGGTCCTTGCCTAGTTTTAATCAACTTTTCTGCTGTTTTCAGTTTATTAAGTGATTGTCTGCCTCGCCTAAGCGCGGCAAATGCCTTTCTAAACGGCTCGCAAATAAATCTTTCATCCACCTCTTCCTCTGCACATCTCCTTTCCGACGTTATTCTCACCCCGAAAACCGTTTCGCGACAGCTAAGGTGGGCCAGCGGCTTTTGTTTTATTCATTTCCTCGACCGCAATTAGCAGCTGCAACTTAGTTGATGAGGCGAAGCCCGCGTAGCTCCGCGTTTCCCCGCGCAGCAGCTCCGCATCTGCCACCGCTCACAGCAGCTAGGCGCAGCTCTCTGATTTTTTTTTTTTTGGGGGGGGGGGGAAGGCGTTTTGGGGTTTTTCTTTTTTGGTTCTTGCTTAGTTTTCGAGATTAGCCCCTTGGCGAATAAAAGGGCTGCTCTTGCAGAGGCAGCTGCCTTGCTGGCTCGGTCCTTCTCTTGGAGGGAGCTTTAATTTTAATCTCTCTGCCCGCAAAGGTTTTTGAGCGCAGCCCTGGCGCAGCCAAAGTTGAGAGGAGTGTTGCAAAGGCGACGACGAGTGCATGTAATTAACTAATTCGTGGAGTGCTGGTAGCCAGGGGTTGCTAATTTGGACTGAAGGGGCAAGTCGCTTCCCTCCTTCAAGGGATCAATTCTGGTCAGTTAACAGAGTAGAGCAGAGTATTTCATGCACCAGACTCACACCGAAAGGTAGAATCACTTTACAAGTAAATCGTATTCCTGTGAAAGAGCACGTCGGCTGGATGCATTTTCTTATTGCCACTTAGAAGATTCACGTTTTGTATTTCCATGTAAACCCTCTAAGGCAGAGAAAAAGTATAGAAACAGGAGGCTGAAAATGGTCAGACTTTAAAAAAAAAAAACACAAACCACACACACAAAAAAAAAAAAAATTCATTATCCTGACCCCAATTTCCTTGCCTAAAATATACTGCCCAAAAAGATAGAAGCATCAATTATGCTCACCATCTATTGCCTGGGGATATGGCGTCTTAATGAACATTTCTTTGAATTAGAGTGAAAAATGCATTTGTCAATTCAAGTGTACAAAGAAGAGAATTATTTGCTATAAAACAGAAATATCAGTATGTGTTTTCCTTGTCAATATATGCCACACATTAGGTCATACCTAAGAGGTTTTGGTGCCCTTCCCTACCTCAAAGAAAAAAAAAAAAAAAAAAAAAACAAAAAAAACAACAAAAACCTACCCTCAAGTTTCCTTTAATTTATTCTAAAACCATACAATACAGCCCTGTTCAAGATCGGGTTTCAAATATTTCATAAACAAAAGGTATACCTGAGTTTCTAGAAAGCCAATTACCTTAAAATATACTGAGGTTGTTCTAATCCTTTTATTCATGCTGCTATCAACCTTTGTTATTTTTCCATCCACATTTAATCACTTCTAAAAGCTGTATTTTTTTCCTGCCTTCTATGCTCCTATATACCAGAAGCAGTGACAACCCTTGGCATATATTTAAAATGCTAATTTTTTTTTTTTCGTACATTCATACAATTCTATTTTAACTGGAGAATGACCAGATAAATACCATAGTTAATACAATCAGCATGGCAAATAAGATTCTGTAAGCTCTCTGGAAGAGTAATTTTTTTAATTTTTTATTTTATTTTTTTTTTAAGTTCCCTCCTTTGGAGGCTGGCTCTGTTTTTCTCAACAGGAGACTTTGTTATAATTAAAGCAGAGAAAACTGGACAGCAGCAAAAAACATCTGACTTGTGGCTCTTAAAAGCACAGTTTTTGTAGCGTGTACACCCCCCAGTGGGCAAAAAACTCTGTAGTAAACTCACAGCAAGCTTTAAGCTCCAGAAATAAAGTGTATATGTTTTACAAGAACAAAATAAAGACACATTTCTGGGTAGGGTGTTGGGTTTTTTGTTTTTTTTTTTTTCTTTTTTCATTTTTCCTTTGTCACCAGTAGGTGAAAGTTGAAAGATAGCATGTCAAGAGATGGTGACTAATCAAAGCATTTGCTGGAGTTTGCCAACTTTGCATTGCAATTACTTGAAGGTGCTTCAGTTGCCAGAGCTGGCCATCTTTGTCTCCTTCTAGCAGGAAGCCCGGATGCTAATGGCTAGTTATTTCTGAATTTTTTTTCCTTAATCACTTCGAAGCACAGGAATGCACAGAAGTAGGAGAAATAGGTGATTGCTTACATTTATTTGTAATAAGTGACCAACTATCACTCAGGGCAAGCATCTTGAAAAGTGTTCCATAAATTTATAATCTCTGTTCTTCCTTTCATGAGCTGTAAGAATTCAAGCAATCTTACAGCTTCCTGGTTTTTAAAGTCTTATTTTTTTGAGGAGCAAATTTAGTAATTGGGAGATAAGAAAACAACTGTTTTAAAAGGGTAAGAAGTGTTATCCAGTGTTTTAAGTAATACTTTAACATGCCTAACATTCTGTGTCAGGAATTCCCTATCAGGTATAATTCCACCTAAACTTGTCAAGAGGGAAAAAAATAGATTTTCCTTTGAAACAATGGCAGCATTTGTTCTCTATTCTTTTACTTTAAGCACTGGCGAGTTACCTCAGCAGCAGCTCTCAAAAGAAAACTTAGAAGCCATAATTGGCTAAACTCAAAGAGCACTAAAACACCAAACAAAAAGCCATTGCAAAACACTCCCCCTCAAAGTGTTTTAACGTGCAACCTTTGCAGAAGCAGAGTAGTCAAAACAAGAGAGTGAGCTGGAATAGTTTAATAGTCTGAATCTTTTTAACCTAGCATCTTCAAAAACCAGGAAAAGTTTTCAAGTAAATTTCAGAAGAGAACAACTCTTAGTTCATTTCCATCCTCTACAGCAAATACTGGTTTGGCTCATTTTAGGTGTGGAGTCAAGCTTTTATTTAGAATCCATTTCTAAGTCACATTCACTTGTATTTGAGGGAAGATCACATCAAAATTTGCATTGTTTTCAAGACACTTGAGTTAGAACTAGGAAGACAAAATTATATTCAACTGCTACACAAGAGGGGGGAAGCAAGTTTTCTACAAGTAAATAAAAACTTTTCCAACAGATGGGGGGGGGGTAGGGAAGGCAAATACAGAGATACAACGTTACTGAAGAGCTCACTCTCACTTTAACAAACTCCTTTGCATTCTTTACCCCTTGGATAGACAGCTAGAGGACCTTCTGCTTGCCTAGCACCAAACAAAAGGCTGGGGCACCTTCCTGAAATACGATGATCGTGGAAATTGCAGCTCCTAGACGGGGTGCTTAGAAAGCATTTTGCTGTCACTATCAACTAACCCTGAGAAATACACTTGAAGAAAACAAAGTATGGGCATTGTTTTAAGTGTAGATTAGCACTGAGGAACTTTTTTTAAAGTTGGTGAAGCTATTTAAGAGGCAGCATGACCTTTGTAAACTAAACTGGCAACACACGCAGTAGACAGACCTCACAGGTATTTTAAAAGATAAGTACATTTTATGTTACTGATTATAAACAAATATGGAGCTAATTCTGGGATGTAAGTACACTGATGAAGCAAAATTGTTAGGCTTATCAAATACATATATTCTACTGAAATACGTATATTCTACTGTTGGCTTTAAACAATACTCTTGTCATGTATAACCTAAAAATACCGAGCTGTTTCCCTTCCCCCTGTTACTTTGATGGTTGGAAAGAAGCCCCTGAACTACCAGAGTTCCTGCTGGAGAACACAGAGGTAGATTAGAAATTCAAATAAGCATTGTGTGACCTCGAGTGAGGCAGGTCTTGATTTTATTCACGTTTTATCACAGCTTGGAAAGGAAAGATCTCTTTGGCACCATTTTTTGAAAAACTCCCAACTTTTCAAATATACCAAAACTATTTTTTTTTCTTTTTTTTCTTTTTTTTTTTTTTTGCTGTTGCCTGCCTACAGGACAGGGAGTGCAGCTAGACTCCATACCTTATAGTAAATACAGTGTTCTTCTTTGGTACATTTTTCTTGTACAGTGCAAATTACTCTGAACTTTTTAAAATAAAATGTCCCCCTGCTTAGCTGTACCACAGCGATAAGTACACGCGCGGGGCTCACGCATTACCGCTATCTGTAGTAATATACTTGCTTACACAATGTCCCAGGAAAAGTAATTTAACCATGCAGTTCAGCAAAGTTCATGAAAACATTCAACTTGGAATAAAGATAAGCAAAAAAGCTGCTATTCAGTTTTTCCAATGTTACTTTTGTTACGAAAAAAAAAAAAAATCATTTTTGCATTTAAAAATGAATTTTAGCACACGCTTTCTAAAATCTGTTCTGTTCAGAAGTAGTGGCTTCTTTCAAAACCATGTGTCCGTGAAGCCTCCCAGTTTGATGTTGCAGAAACCTGGACACAGTGTCTGTACCAGTGGGGGTCACTTTTCTTTTCATCCTGCCAGATCAGCCATAATGACTTGATGTCGGGGAATATTTAGACAGCTCAAGAAGGGGAAAGTTGGAGCATGGCAGCAGGATTCCCTTCTTCTCTGTAGACAGATCACTGAAGCCTTTGATATGCAAAAACATTGTTTTCAGCTATGGCTTGAGATATAAAAGGGAAGTGCAAGATATCAAACAACCAAAACCTGAAGAAAACTATTCTAAGTTTAGAAAAGGGAGTGGGGGGTATAGTCTTAATCCACATTTTTGAAACAGTGTCGTCTTCTCCAGAGAGACCTGCTTTTATTTTTCTCTCTCTTGTTTTCATTTAATTTTGAGAGAAGGGATAAAAAAAATTCCAAGAACTTAATGAGCTTTAGTGCTTTCATTTTAATCCTACACATTACTGCTATTACAATAGCAGCAATAAATGAAGGGATGACTACCAAATGGAGCAGAGAGGAAACAGTTTGTATGCTAGAAAGGTAAGACAAATGAACTCAATTTCTCATCTGTGTATGTATATATGTAATGTATGCATACTAGAGCCTCTGTTTTGCTTAATACTAAAGTTTTTTACAGTTCTAAAAGTTATAAAGAAAAATTACTATTTTAAGTACTTGAAAGTTACTGTAGCCTTCAAAGGCCTATTTAAGAAATTTATATCCCTATTTCACAATATACTTCCCGAAAATAGCCTCTATCACAACTTCACATTAGTTCCTAAGAGATACCATTTTTTTCTACAGCTTTTAAACAACTGTTTATTTCAGAGTTTTAGGAATACAGCCTCAACTTCTTTCCCCAAACACTTCAGTAATACAGACTAAGAAAGCTGGACGCTGCAAGAACATGGAACCCTTTTGTTCCATTTTGTGATTGCATCATTTACTGAAAATTACATGTTACCTAAAACTATGCATCCCCTTATATTCTAAAATGTGACCATGCAGATTGAGTTTTTGCTTTAAATAAAGCATATGTTAAAATACATATTTATGCCACAGTGGCGAAATTAGTGTCTCTCAATTTACTATTTTCGTTACATAACTTATGAAAACGAGGTGCAGAAACAAATCTCAGAGGAGCATGAAAGCAGCATCAGGAGAGAAGGGGCTTTACCGTTCCCTCACTAGACAGTCACATCGTCTCTGAGGTGGGGGGGCTTTTTTTTTTTTTTTTGGTTTGGTTTGGTTTTTTTTTTTTAATGGTTGACATTTTTCAATGAAAAAGAACAGTGTAATTTGTATCTATGTGAATAATTTTGTATCAGTGCAAATTTCCTGTTGCTGTAGGAGTATTACTGATCTACTTCGTGATGGACCCGCTTCGAATTGGAAAAGACAAGAGTTTTAGAATCCTAAACAAAGACTTTCTGTTTAGGTCTAATATTTTATGAAGGACCAGCAGCTACTGTAGTTAAGAGCTCACAGAAAGGCAGCTAAGCAAGCATTATGCAGCATGCTGCTTCTTCCTAGCATTTCAGTTCTGAGGATTGTGCTCAGTTCTCTGGACAACATGGAGTCACAAAAGAGAGAAGCAAGGAAATGTTAAGGATTTTTTAATTTCAGATTTAACCAACTTCTATTTCAGACATACTACCTCCATGCCCTCAGGGAACACAGACTTGATATCTTCCTGGATGTTTTCTGCAATAGTGATAGGAAGTAGCCCAAGTGAAAAATACCATTCAAAAATAACCAAGTAATTAGAGTTCTTCAAGATATAGGAACAGCCAAGCTGGAAATATTTTTCTTTTTTTGAAATTAGAAAAATCAGATAAAATCCTAATCTAAACTCCAATTCCACTGTGCAAAGTGACAAATAGCTTAAAAGTTCAGACCTCAAATAGAGCATATTTCATGGACGAAACTCACACGTGTGTCTTTTGTCAAAGAGTTGATACAGGTGCCTAACTAGTCCCCAATTCAGGATCTGCATGCTGCAAGTGTGAAACATCAATAACGGTATTTTAGAAAATATATTCCCCCTTTCATTCGGTAACTGCTGAATGGTAATTAGCTCCCTTTACATTTAAAACCAAGGAGAGGATTATCATCTACCTCAATTTACAAAGAACACAAAGCAAGCGACCATTTTGGTCTCCTCCAGGGAGGCAGGACTAGCATTTGTAATCAGGTGGGAAACATAATTTACAAATATTTTGTCTGTCAGCTCAGGATGACTTTATTTTGTACTGAAAGGAAAAAGGAGTTCCAGCAAAACTGCAGTAACATGAAACTAAACAGCAAAATGTTTTCTTAGAGCTCTGTATTTTGCTGAAATACCAATATTTTGGGAAAACAAGATGTGCTAGTCATGTATACAATAAGTATAGCATGATTTATATAGGGGATGCAACACAACTCTGAATACTAGTGTCCACCAGTTGTTATTAATTCCAATTTTTTTTTGTTTGTTTTTACTTTTGCAGGAAATTAAAAGTTCAAGGAAAGCTTTAAAAGGGGAGTTTCCTGGGGAGGAAATAATATTTTTCTGGGTTTTTTTTATGAAGAAAACCATCTGAATTGCCTAACGTTTCTACAGTAGAGCAACTTGCGTTCTTGCAGCACAGGAGGAATTCTTTCCTGCATTACAAATTTGGAAGAAGAATTAAAAAGTGAGAGTCGGAAGATGGTTCTTTCAAAGAGGCGTGGATGTATCAGGATGTAGCTACTGCACAAAGTTTATACTTGGATAATTCTGGACAGGAAAAAGCAGCCCCATTCCTGACCTCCTGAAGAGGCTACCCTCCTTCAAGCCTCAGCATAATGAATAGTTTCCATCACGTGGCGCTGAAGTTACCACCTCTGCCTACTACACTGCACACAAGGGTTTGTAAGAGTTACAAAGAAAGCAGTTCCTGCTAAAGGCATTAAACCAAACAAAAGAGGCTCTTCATTCACAGACTTCACATGAGAACAAAAATAGAGGGAAGCTGAAGCTTTTCCCCACCCTGGCCTGGTGTGCTTATGTACCATGATAAATCTTGGTTGGAATGCTCATTGAGTATCGTTCCAGGAGCCAGGAAACACACACTACACCAAGAAGGACCGTCTGAGTAAACACCGTCGAGAAAAGAAGAGCTCCATGGAGTAAAACATAAGAGTGACCTGCAAGAAAGACATTTCTTTACTGGATACCCTCAAGCACAAAATTTACTCACACCTTTAAATACGGTAGGATCAATATTAATTCATTTTCCTTCTCGTGCCTTGGAGAATAAAGTTCAATTAATATATGAACCCACAAGAGAAAAGGTCATGACACTGCTTAATGCATAGGTCATCTTGCAGAAGTTCTCACAACCCTAATTACAATGGTAATTGAATTATGTTGTCTTAAAAGCTATAAAAATGCTAATTACCTGAGCTCAATGTACAAACACTACTAATGGAAAGTACAATTTCAGTCTCAAGAGTTAATTTATACCATGCTACTTTGTACAGTCTGAACTCGTAATATGGGAAAATGTGGTTACACCTGCCAAATAGTCTCTTATTAGTGTACTGCTTAGTAAGAAGACTTTTGAGAATGACAAATATTTAAACATGAAATTAAGCACGTAATGAAATATTCCATCCAGTCAACTAGAAAGCCATAGCACTACCAGCTATGTCAGGTTGTTAGCTACCTACCAGTTGTAACGTTCACCTTTCTAAACATTCTAGCTCGAAACCCAAGCAAAATAGGCTGCAGTATTTGTAAGATCTACAACGTGACATTGAGCACTTGGAAAAAAGTTGTTAGCTGGCGCTTGCTCTTTTGTCTGCGTTTTATGCTTTGCCATCAGAACTGTTTTGAACCTTCAAAATAGCCACCTCCAAACCTTGTGGGTTTGGTAAGGGTTTTATAGTTCACTTAAGGGCTCCTAGGGCAGTTAGCTGGCTTAGGAATTACTTCTTATCTTTCAGATATAGAATGATTTACTTGAACTCTGGTGTGACTTCAGCTCTGTACTTACCTAGTATCTCTGAACAAAGATTGTCTCTACACGTGAAATGTGAAGGAATCCTTAGAAAGAGCCTTCTTGCTTAAGCAAAACAATTCACAGATCAGACATACCTGATTGTATTATTTTCGGTTGCTGTGCGGGGAAAAAACTGTTAATTTAAGTGAACTAGAACAAGAAGTAGTACCATTATTGATGTAAGGAAAAGAAAGGAACATGTCTCTGCAAGCTTGAATTTTAGTTTAATACGCGTGTTTTGGATGTCTTCTGTAATGTTGAATGTTCGTTGCAGTTTCTTCACTGATGATCTGGATAATTTTGTTTGTTTGGTTTTTTTAGATTGTTGAAGATCAGAACTGTATACAAATCTCATCATTCCTGACCATGATTAGTGTAACCTGGAGCATCTTCCTAGTTTGGACTAAAATAGGGCTGTTACTTGACATGGCACCTCGCCCTGTTAGTGCCAAACCATGCCCTTCAGTATGTCGCTGTGATGTGGGTTTCATATATTGTAATGATCGCGATTTGACGTCTATTCCTACAGGAATCCCAGAGGATGCTACTACCCTCTTCCTTCAGAACAATCAAATAAATAATGCTGGGATTCCTTCAGAACTGAAGAACTTGCTTAGGGTGGAAAGAATATATTTATATCACAACAGCTTAGATGAATTCCCCACTAACCTCCCTAAGTACGTTAAGGAACTGCATTTGCAGGAGAATAACATAAGGACCATTACTTATGATTCACTTTCACAAGTTCCTTATCTGGAAGAACTGCATTTGGATGATAATTCTGTTTCTGCTGTTAGCATCGAGGATGGAGCTTTCCGGGACAACATCTATCTCAGACTTCTTTTTCTCTCTCGAAATCACCTTAGCACCATTCCCTGGGGTTTGCCTAAAACGATAGAAGAGCTACGCTTGGATGATAATCGTATTTCCACGATTTCAGAGCTGTCCCTTCAAGACCTTACAAATCTAAAACGCCTTGTTTTAGACGGAAATCTTCTCAATAATCATGGATTAGGAGACAAAGTCTTCATGAATCTAGTCAACCTTACGGAACTGTCATTGGTCCGCAATTCACTCACAGCTGCACCGGTAAATTTGCCAGGAACCAACCTGAGAAAGCTTTATCTTCAAGAAAACCACATCAACCACGTGCCACCCAATGCTTTCTCTTACTTAAGGCAGTTGTATCGACTAGATATGTCCAATAACAATCTCAGCAATTTACCTCAGGGTGTCTTCGATGATCTGGACAATATAACTCAACTTTTTCTTCGCAACAACCCTTGGCACTGTGGGTGCAAAATGAAATGGGTACGCGACTGGTTGCAGTCATTGCCTTTAAAAGTTAACGTACGTGGACTGATGTGTCAGGCACCAGAAAAAGTACGTGGCATGGCTATCAAGGACCTCAACGCGGAGCTATTTGATTGTAAGGACGATGGCATGATAAGCACCATCCAAATCACTACTGCAGTACCAAACACCTTATACCCAGCCCAGGGACACTGGCCAGTCTCTGTGACCAAACAACCAGACATCAAGACTCCCAACCTAAATAAAAACTACAGAACCACAGCAAGCCCGGTACGCAAAATCATTACAATATTTGTGAAATCCGTAAGCACGGAGACTATTCACATCTCCTGGAAAGTTGCACTACCGATGACTGCTTTAAGACTGAGCTGGCTCAAGATGGGTCACAGCCCTGCCTTTGGATCTATAACTGAAACAATAGTTACGGGCGACAGAAACGACTATTTGCTCACGGCTCTCGAACCAGAATCGCCATACCGCGTATGCATGGTTCCCATGGAAACCAGCAACATCTATCTCTCCGACGAAACGCCCGAATGCATCGAGACCGAGACGGCACCTCTTAAGATGTACAACCCTACCACGACCCTCAATCGGGAGCAGGAGAAAGAACCTTACAAAAACTCCAGCTTGCCGTTGGCCGCCATCATCGGCGGCGCGGTGGCGCTGGTGGCCATAGCGCTGCTGGCCCTGGTCTGCTGGTACGTCCACAGAAACGGGTCCCTGTTCTCCCGGAACTGCGCCTACAGCAAGGGACGCCGGAGAAAAGATGACTACGCCGAAGCGGGAACCAAGAAGGATAACTCCATCCTAGAAATCAGGGAGACTTCTTTCCAGATGATACCAATAACCAACGACCAAGTGTCCAAGGAGGAATTTGTAATACACACCATTTTCCCACCTAATGGCATGAACCTGTACAAGAACAGCCACAGTGAAAGCAGTAGTAACAGGAGCTACAGAGACAGTGGTATTCCAGATTCAGATCATTCACACTCATGATACTGAAGGACATGAAAGACTGGTTTGGGTTTCGTTGGGTTTTTTTGGTTTTGTTTTGTTTTTTAAAGAAAACGAGAAAAGACTGACTTAACAGTTGCTGTTCTACTGCAAAACACTGGATTAAAAGACTGACAAAGCAATGTACTGTACATTTGCCATATAATTTATATTTAAGAACTTTTTATTAAAAGTTTCAAATTTCAGGCTACTGCTGCGATTAATGTAGTGGGGATACCTGACCACAATTCTATATTTTAGTATTTTTTAGTAATTTGTACTGTATTTTCCTTGCTAATATTGAAGTTACAGACCATTTAACTTTTGTGTTCTACTGAGTAAGATGACTTGTTGACTGTGAAAGTGAATTTTCTTGCCGTGTCGAGCAGTCAGAACATTCATCTGAGATCCTTGTAAGTGTAAGCACAGGCCATTTTTCACTTTGGTATCAATAAAATAATGTTGAACCTAGCAAATCAGGAAGATCAAGAAGTGGTTGCAAATACTCACAGAACTCTCAATGTTGGGTCTATTAAATCTGTAAACCACAACAATATTCAATAAACAAAAATGCGTGTAGTAATGGGCAATATCAGCTGTCTGGATATATCCATTCAACAATGGTGAAATCCAATTTAAAAGAAAGTAATCAAATCGATGAGACTGAAGCTTTTGACACATGTAAAAAAAAAAAAAAAATTGATCCCTGGAAGAAAGCATAATCAAATTCCTAACAAGGAATTTAAAAAAAAAATGCGCTAGGCCCTGCAAACCAAGGGGGGTAGATGCGGTTTAGGGATATATTTCTGGTTATCAAAGCCAGTGGTCTGCTTATTACAGAGAAAACAGTGATGGATGGTCACAGGCATTTGGGAGGCAAGGGCAGGAGGATAGAGACAACACTTAGAAACTGCTTTGAACAGAAAAAGGGCTGAAAATGAAGTTTCATAAGGAAAAAAGAGCAGGACAAACAGTCGGTATAAGCAAGGTCTCAAAAACTTTAGTCATGAAGGTAAGCAGACAATTGGGGAATACAGCTATTTTAAAGCGTATACTCAAACAGTACACAGGTACGTGTTCGGTATACTGCATTACAGTCAGGAATACTGCCCATTACTGCCACAGTTTTTCAGAAATCCCTTGATAAATCTGTAAGGTAACATGTTTCTTTCTGCCTTCCTACTGAACTCTCAACTATTTCATGTTTAAACCCCAAGCCACTCTTTGTTGCCATAATCATTTGTTTCTTCAACTGAAAACCAAAGTGCTTTGTACGCCCTTTGGCCAGTCTTGTGTGTGCCTTGATCCAACGCTACATGTATCAAGCTTTTAAAAACTGAAAAAAAGGAAAAAAAAAAAAATAAAATACCCACTTTTTCATATGTAACTTAACCATGAAAACTATTGGTCTTATTGATGAATAAAGCTGAAAAATTAGTTCAGAATAATGCTGCACCTCTGCAGTGCGCTCATAGGAAACTCACTCAGAAGCTAATATTTTTTGGGTCAGGAGCTTCACCTTTTTTCTTTGTTCACCTTGACAGATTACACTTGCAGTATTTCTTTATTATTAATTACTTGGAAAACAAGTTTTCACAACACTGAACTGTGTGAACAGCAAAAGAGGGAAGCCATGGAGTTGCAACTCTCTGAGTTCTTGGGTTTTTTCCCAACAGAAACGGCAAATAGAAAAATACTTAATATTTTGGACAGTACCTCAGGCAAGAAGGAACGTATACCAAATGCATTTCAATGCTAAGAGAATTGTAGCAGTGCTTGGCCTGTCTGTTTTCCTAGGAGTGGTAAAGGATGGAAGACAACAAGAACAAACTGTGACAAACACCGAGACTGATGGTTTCAGCAGTCAACCTGCAAACAGTTCTCCCGCCAGGGATCCATCTAAGTGTGCAGACCTAAAAACATCCATTCACATGCAGCTCTTTGCATCCTTATATTCCAGATGTGCCCAGAGGACCAAACTTCCCATGCCACGGTGTTATTTCCTCAACCTCACCTTCAAAAACGCCTCCTGCGATTCCTGAGCAGTGGAGGAGTCCCAGCTGGAGGAGCAGCTCTGTGTTTCCCTACCAACCTGACACAAACCGTGTCGTCTTCACACTGAGCATTGATCGGATCCATGACGCCAAAAATAACAGAAAGGGGCATGTTTTGCTAAACAGCTATGTTCTCATCTCAGTGTAATGTGCTAAACAAGACTATTTTGCTCTATTTTCCCATCAGGTACAAATCTAGGGAAGGGCACAAAAGCCAAGGCTAAGCACGTGTAGCCTCATTATATTCTTGTGCAAAAGGCTTCCTGAGCAATAAGTGGGAAAAGAAAACCAACACCGATGGAGGAGACTGACCTAGTTTTCATCTAAGCTAGCATACGGGGATGCTTTAGATCAGACATACGTTTAATGGCTGGGTCACTGGCAATAGATTACTAGTTCTTTGCCATCAGCTCTCCAATAACAAAATTGCATAGGTTTTGCTAGTTTTTCAAGCTATTTACATTAAAACCTCTCTCCTAGTTGACTCCGGATTTGTGTTGTGAAAAGGGTAAAGTAACACTCAGTGAGTACTCTCCCGTGCCCCTTCTGAGGCACCTCAGCCCGAGTTAACCTGGGTAATGGTACATCTACTGCACATCTCAGGTGATGCCACACAAAGGTCATACGGGCTACAAAAAAGTTGCCATTTGTCAAGGAGCCAATTGCACCTGAATCTGAAGCAGGAGGACTTTTAAGGCGAAATTTACGTACTGCGAGGCAGTAGGATGCAAATCCAAAGCCACTTCAACCATTTGGCCCAGTTGTGCCTGGTTCACCTCCGCCAGAAGGAGTGACAACCTGCACAAGCATCTCCGCCCTCTTGCAGAGAACCAGGCCAGGTTTGTGGGGAGAGCTGGTGCCCTCCTACCACAACTGATGTCAAGGGAAAAAACGGCACATCCATGCAGGCAAGACCTTCCTTAGGTTCTACAGCAACTTTTCTGCAACATGCGTAATATTCATTTGGCAAGTAAAAGATTGATTTCAAGCTAAACTCCGTATTTTTTCCTTTGGATAAAAATTTCTATCCCACTCCATGTGATGCCCATCTCTTTAAGACTCTTCAGCTAGCCATATAGCACTGCAGTTACAGCACGCAGTGCTCTCTAGCACCACGCATAAATGCGTTCTGCAGGCAAATCAGATTACTACATTGAGCAGTTTACTCAATACATGTATCAAAATAACATTAATCCACGTTAAATTTATCTCAAATAATTTTCTGATTCCATGTTATTTCAGTGTACTGTTCAATATTTAATTGTGGAGCAAGGAGTGGAATATTTTTCAGCGTTGCCTAAACCTACATGCAGGGTTAATTTAACGAGCATCTTTTTACATTTTTATAAGTTTATATTGCTATCCTGAATTGCTCACACTTCTGTTTTAATCTGAAAACTGACACCAAAAAATCCCTGGTATTTTAGAAAACATATTAATTTTGTTTCATCTTAGTACTTTCCAGAACTAAATTTGCTTCATTTATAAACTATTATTTCCTAGCTTTGTACAACAGCCTGAAATGCAACAACCATTGGGGTTTGGTTTGGTTTTGTTTTTGTTTTTCCTCTGGCCTTTACCAGTACCAAATTCAAAGTATTATGGTCTTGGAACACAGTTACCATTTCTTCTGCTAATGCACTAGCTAGCATGCAAGCTATATTGTGCCAGTGCTGTACATACTGAATGTAGAGCAGCAAACGCAATAAAGCAAGAGCAAAACGCAATAAAGCCTTATTTGCTATTAAAATAAATTTACTGATGACATAACGCACTAAAGCACATATATAGACTTCTCTGCAATTAAGAGGATGCAATTTTGCATATTCACCTGCAGCTAAAGTTGGATAAGATCTGCAAATGTGAGCTGACAGATGCCATCTGCCTGGATTTATCCAAACCACATTTGTTTGGGATAGGTTTGGGATGGAACCATAAATCGCACTGATACCCCCCTCTGCTTTCAAAACACCTTAACCTTGCTTCCAAACCCATTTCAGCATCATCTTGGGACTGATCTTTGTTTAATTAACTGTTTCTTTACAGATACCAGAACAACAACAAAAGTTTCAAGCCACAAGCCGGCACTTCCCACCAGTGAAATTTTTTTACGAAGTATAAAGTTACTCCATAATTAGCGAGTTTCTCCTTCCAAACAAGCCCACAGTGGTTTAGTCAGAATAGAAAAGCCCATTCACTGAATTCAGGCATGAAAATTTTACTTTTTTTTTCTTTGCAAATGTATTTAATTTTGCAGGTGGCAGAGTAGGAACCCCACCCTTGTGATGAAATTAGAGCCCTTTCAAACACTCTGAAGGCACAACTGTGACACAGATTCTGGACACAGATGATTTAAAAGCTTTTTTATTTTGGTAAACCCGCATGTTTGTTTTAATTTTAATAGTCATTTCATCAAATCATTTCCTGCTCCTCTCAAAAAATCTAGATAAAACCCACACAAAGTAAGTGGATCTCATTAAAACAAAGACAGAGCACCTAGCTTAAAACAAGCCTCACCTGTGTTTTACCAGCACTGGACATCAAGCAAGATACTGATTTTGCAGTAGTCTTTAAATGATGGCTGGGGAATAATCCTGCCCTAGCAGGAAACCAAAACACTTCAACAAAACGGATGTTAAAAGAAATAACCATCCTCTGAATTACTGGTGGTCTGAGGCAAAGGCACACGGTGCACATTTTGGAAACTGAGCAGATGTCCATTGTGCATGGACATTATAGATGTCCTACAGCTGAAACCTGCAGACCAGGATTGCAGAAGTGTATCACCCAGCTTCAACCGTTTTTCAGATCCCTTTGTGTTTTCTTAGGATGAAAATGTTGTGGAATCATGGTATAAAACCCCTCAAGACTACTAACAACTATATGAGCTGAAAACACACTTTGAAATCTGAAGCTGGACCTTCTAAGCTCAGCAAGAGCACTCATAAATAAATTACAAAAATAGAAGCATCTTAATAGGGCTAATTAAATAATCTGACGTGTTAAGCTGGTTGATAGTATTCATATAGGCTGATACTCTGTCCTGAACAGCCCTCTTAAGTAATCAAAAGAAGGGAGCGGGTCACAGCCAAATGCTAGTGTGCGCTCCCGTCCCCTTGCTGAGCTTGAGGGCTAGCTATCTATAGATGCAGCTGTGGAAGGTTTGCTCGTTCAAAATCAGGGGGCTGCACAACATTCTTTAATCATTAACTGTGGGAGCATCATTTACAGAAGGATGAAATTATGCACATAGTAACACAGTATGCATAATATAACTCTTTTAATTTATGCAAAGTATTTTTAAAATTATTTAGATCAGAAAATACACATCCGATTTATGTAATACTGATTTCCTCCAGTGGCCTTAGCCTGATAAATGCCCACCAGGCAACTGGCTTTGCACATGAAAACAGATGT